AAAAAAGTGGAAAAAAGAAAAGTTTTGCAGTCAGTACTTCCTCTTAGATACTTTAGCATGCATATCATTAACCATGGTTCAATATTTGTGTACATTTTAATTCTCATGTAAAATTTACATATAATGAAATGCACACATCTTAAGTGTATATTCTTTGAGTTTTGACAAATGCATATGTCTGTATAACCCAAATCCTAGTGAAGATATAGAATGTTATCTTCACCCCAGAAAGTTCCCTCATGGCCTTTCTGAGTGAAATGCTCTGTTATGATTTTTAGAGAATTGAGAACCCAAAGTGAAGAATTTGCTCTTTGCTCCTGCCTATATTGGACTGTCCTGAGTGCTGGGTGACTAGCAATCTATGCTGATCCTGAACATGGAGAAAGAGAAAAGGGTATAGAGAGCCGGGGAAAGGGCACTTCTGTTAACAGCTCGATGTACTGCCCCACAGTTGGGATACGGCGAGCGTGTGTGTTGGTGGGGGCTGTGGGGGGGCTCCAAAGGGTACTAATACCTGTAATTCTGACCAGAGCCATCACACATTCTCACTAAAGCCATCTTATCAGAACACCGTGCCTTGGTGTGGTCTCTCGTTGTCCTTTCTCCTTTCACCTTAGCACAGCCCTCTCCCTATTTCTCTTGGCTGCAAACAAACAGTTGCAGGCAACAGCCCACCCTTCTCGGAGAGTTTCTGTGTTGCTGAGACCTGCGTGGACACACAGGCATCCAGCTGGAGGGTGGCAGTGCCTTACGTCTGTGCTGTGTGAGTGGACGGGCTGAGCAGTGTGAGCACCGGTCTCAGGAACATAATCCCCCAAATCGGACACTTGCCTTTACCAAGTTGCTAAGGACCTTGTGTTTCTCCCCCTCTCCTCCTCCTATACATATTCTTTCACTTTTTTCTTGAACTACATAATCTATCACCTCATGAAAATAATGAAAGTTCATTATTTTAACAATCAAAATAATACGGCACAAAGAGAAACTGCCTCCTGTTAGCACCTCCAAGAAGTGTATCTAGTTTACATCCTTTGTGAACATTTAAAAATGCACATACAAGGAATAAGTATGTCTGTGTTTTTTTAAATGGCACTGGCTTATTCATCCTGCTCTAAGACTTGCTTTTTCTCACTTGGAAATCGTAGCTCATGGGCAGGCCTCTGTGTTTTTTCTGCCACAGTAAGATACATACAAGGAATAAGTATGTCTGTGTTTTTTTAAATGGCACTGGCTTATTCATCCTGCTCTAAGACTTGTTTTTTCTCACTTGGAAATCGTAGCTCATGGGCAGGCCTCTGTGTTTTTTCTGCCACAGTAAGAGCAACCGACTTGAGAAAAGCGCTCTCATTTCTCCTGCAGAGCTCTCCGAACGGGACCCTGTGTCACCAGCACCACGCCCCACCTAGTAAGCAACCAGCCAGCCCTCTCTTTTCAAGAGTTTCTCCTTTTCACAGTAGATTAATTCCAATATTTCAAGTCAAATTTTTGCTACAAAATGACAAGCTGACCAAGAACAACAACTTATGTGCTCACAATTTTCCATCCAGTGACTTCTGGGTATTTTTAAGGAGACTCCCTGCCCCCCACCAAGTCCTGTTTTGAAAAGAGCTTAAACAATGTGCACTGGGAATCACACCAAGTCGGTTCTTTCCTGGGGGATGGGCAGGAAAGAGTTAGAATCACATCAGAAGTGGCAAATTCTAGTTCATAGCTACAGAAGGGAGACTCAGAAAACACACCTTCGCCCAGAATGTACTACTAAGACAACAGCAAGTGCTTACTGGAGCTGTCTTGAAATGTTTAAAAAATAAAAACAGTAAAAAATATCTTAAGCATGTGTGTGTGTGTTGATGGGTGTAAAGTGGGATGACAGCAAGAGAAGGAACAGGCGGGAAGGTGAGAAAGGGGGAGTGGGGCAGGGGACGTGTCAGGGGGAGTGTTGCTATGATGGTTGATTTCATGTGTCCGCTTGGCTAGGCCCTGGCGTTCAGCTGTCCGGTCAACCACTAGTCTAGATGTCACTGCGAAGGAATTTTGCAGATGTGGTCAGCATGTACAGTCGGTAGACTCAGTAAAGCAGATTACCCTCCGTAATATGGGTGGGACTTACCAGTCAGCTGAAGGCTTAAGAGCAAAACAGATTTCCTGGAGAAATCGGTAGACTCTGAGTAAAGCAGATTACCCTCCATAATATGGGTGGGACTTACCAGTCAGCTGAAGGCTTAAGAGCAAAACAGATTTCCTGGAGAAGGAATTTCTAGGAAGGAACTTGAGTGGAGCTGGCCAGTTAGCTCAGTTGGTTAGACTGCAGCCATATAACCCCAAGGTCAGGGGTTTGGATCCCCGTACAGGCCAGCCACAAAAAAAGAAAGAAAAAAAAAGCAGGACAGAACACGATCGGAAAACTGGTGACAGAAAGGTCTGGGAAAGAGGTATGTGGATAGACCTCTCTGAATGGGCAAAGAATGTGAAGATATTTGCGTCCCATGTGAATTCTCTCCAAACGGTGACCTCAGCAGAGGAGGATTTTAATAGAAGAGTGAGCAGCACAACCCTTTCTGTAGATACCAGTCCGCCTCTCTCCCCAGCTGTCCCTGTCACTGCCCAATAAGCTCAGAAACAGAGTGGCCGTGGTGGCAGGGATGAAGGTTGTGTGTGGGCTCACAACATGACAATGTGAGCTCCACAAGGAGGGGACTGAGACTATTTGCTTCACTCCTGTGTCCCAGAGCCCAGCAGAGCACTGGCGCCCAGGTGCTGGATAAATACTGGAACGGTATATATATGAACTATGGAAGTTTTAAAATGTAGCACTGACGAGACTATGGAGTAGCTCTTGGTAATAGTTTTACTTATTAACTTATTTAATAGAAATGATCATGAACATTTGTAAAATTCAGTGTTTACAGTGAAATAGCTTGGGCTATGTATGTATATTCCTACTAATATTTGCACCAAGAAATTTTTTCTTTGCTTTTTAGGCTTTTATATCAGTCAAAAGGAAAACAAATTTAAAAAACACACCCAAGCTTCATGGGCAAAACACACAAATGTGATATAAATGTACTGCTATGAATAGAGGCTTCCTAATTACTGAGTCCTTTCCTTCCTCTAATAAAATGCTCAAATGTTAAAGCTACTCCCACATTAGCAAATTCCTCCTTCATGATATGCTGAATCTTTTCCATCTCACCTTTCCTTAATTCCTGTGCAATTTAACTAGGATAACAAACTATTTAAATGTTGGTGTACAGGAAATACTGGTAGTAAGTTTGTGCTTCAGAGTAGATTTTTCAAGCCTGTTGGCTTGTTTGAAATACGCTTTTAGACGATAGATGTGGTTTAGAACTTTTCACAAGTTTAAAATATTTTAAAGGTCTTTGAAAAGTACAAAATCCTCAAATACCTCTGCTACAGATTAGACATCTGAGGGGTCTTTTGCTTTGCCAGACCTGAAACTTTATTATTTAATTAAAAAGCCATCACACTTTCATTCAATTTAGTGCCTAGATGTTTTCTGGGAGCCTTAGGCGCTGTTCCAGAAATCGGTGGGCAGCACTGGGTTAGCCTGCTGCTGCAAAACAAGCCAAGGAATCCTTTCCCAGAGAACACTCAGACTGAATATGGTAGACTGGATTTTCCAAAGATGGCTGTGGACAAAGGCTGTGGTAGGTTTAGTAGGACACAGTTCCCACATGTCACCCCCCTCCCCCCCGGCCCCGCCGGCAGCACTGGGTTAGCCTGCTGCTGCAAAACAAGCCAAGGAATCCTTTCCCAGAGAACACTCAGACTGAATATGGTAGACTGGATTTTCCAAAGATGGCTGTGGACAAAGGCTGTGGTAGGTTTAGTAGGACACAGTTCCCACATGTCCCCCCCCCCCCCCCCTGGCCCCGCCACTCCCTTCACAATGGATTATGGCTAGATTGAGTATTTCACCAACTCATCTCTTGCACCTTCTTGATTAAAAATCTAATGTTCCCAAACATATACACGCTTCTTTAGCTTGCAGAATGTGGGTTTATTTTCACTTTTTTTTTTTTTTTGGCAGCTGGCCAGTACAAGCATCCGAACCCTTGACCTTGGTGTTAGAAAACCAAGCTCTTACTATTCTTTTCTGTTAATAAAAATACGTATTTTCTGCAGAACAGGCTAAAGAAAGAAAATAATTACACATAATTCACCCAGAAGTTTGGCATATTTCTTTCCAGTTTTTAAATATGCATATATATTGCTTTCCTTGTATTTGCTACCTGTGTAACTAAATGCTTAGCCTGCTTTCTTCACTTCAAGTTTAATTTTAGTACAGGGAAAAGGTAGCTGAAATCTACCTAATAGTCCTCTGGACTATTTTCATAGCACAGCCTACTCCCTTGTGGACCTTGAACACATTTCTCTTGCTATTACCAAATACCTGAGGTTAGTTCATCACAACCACTAAATTTATTTTTGCTAATACTTGGTTAACAAATGAGGCTTTCCTAGAAGAGCTATGTGGAATATGTCATCAGACACCTGACAGAACAAAAACAAGACAGCCTTGGCAATCCACTAGTGTCTGGTCCTTCCTTGGACTGCAAAGTAGTCACATGACCTTCACCAGCAGTTCAGGGAGATGCTTCAGTAACTAGCAACGTGACTTTTATCACATAAACTAACCATCTTGAGTGAAAAGAAGAGGATTTCCCTTTCTAATATCTAAAACCTATGAATCTCTATTTTGCTTTTCTAAAGAATGAATTGTTTTCCTTTACTAAAACAATTTACCTTTGTTTTTCCAAATTGTTTTGTTAAATTTTGCTAGATTCAAGAGCTGGGTCACACATAGCCAATGAGCAGCTGACATAAAAGCTGCATATTTATAACTAGAAGAGCCAGAAGGCCACCAAGCATCTTTTTCCTAATGCACCACTGCCACATTCAGTTATGTCTTTAGAGTCCAATTACATTTCCCGACTACACAAAAACCTAATTTGTTAAAAACAGAAAGAAGTACCACCTTTACGTGTTGAATTAAAATTTATTTTAAAAGGTAAAGCTTTATATATCCTTTTAAAAAATGAAAATCCAAAAGACTTAGAATTAAGCAACGAGTCTTCGATATCATAAATCTGTTTATAACAGTAATTAAAGTAGCGGTAACATTTTACCCTTGTAAAAATGTCACAGAATTCAAATCACAACTTGGATCCTCAACGATTCAAGTGTTTACTCTTATACAATAAGGGGTTGGTCAGTTTTAAGATAAAATTCCTGCAGACACGCATGCTATGCTGTCCTCAAACCTTCCCTTACCACCGTCCATCAGCTCACACGGTGGGATAGCTGGCTGCTGTGGCGATTCCACAGTGGTTGTTCTTGTCTTTGGCAATTTTTACGTAGCCGTTTGAGCCCCAGTCTGGACCCCAGCTGAAAGAGGAGCAAGTTTTCCATTTCATACAAAGAAATCAAGAAAATATTAGCTTCATTAATAATAAGAGCTAACAATTAAACAGTGCCTGCCATGTGTCAAGCACTATTCTAAGTACTGTTAACATCTATTTAAAGTGTATTAACTCCTGTGAGTCCTTATCTTAACTTTTTAAAATAAGAAACTGAGGCAGAACTGGGATTCAATGCAGCAGTCTGTATCCACATGCTATCACATCTCAATTAAAGAACTTTAGCTGTGAAAACTGATCCTGACAACCCTCAAGGCCTCTGAGAGCTGGAGAGAAACACATGATGACAGGGCATTCAATGACAACGTAAGGAGGCGCAGGGCTGCAGGACAGTCTTCAGCCGTAAGGAAGTCAGCCCTCAACACTACAGGTCCACGATCCTGTATTTGAGAGCTGGAGAGAAACACATGATGACAGGGCATTCAATGACAACGTAAGGAGGCGCAGGGCCGCAGGACAGTCTTCAGCCGTAAGGAAGTCAGCCCTCAACACTACAGGTCCACGATCCTGTATCTGAAACCTTTGGGGCCAGATGTGTTTCAGAATTTAGAAAAACATATTAATAACCCCAACAAGCTTAGTACAGAATCTTATAATCAAACATTAATACTTCTGTGTTCACTCTACGTAGAAGAAAGACTTCTGGGATTTCAAAACTGAACTTTTGTGGACTTACAAACAAATACTGATTCCAAATAAGGATTCCCTTTTCAATTTATAAGCATAATATTTGGACTTTTATACCTGTTCTTGACGAGCCAAAATTTATTGTTATTTGAATCGGTTCCTTCGAAGCCATAGCCAACTACCAGAACGCCATGATCCAGGTCTTCGCTGCTGCAGTTTGGATCAAAATAAATGCCTGAGAGAGCAAAATCAACACTGGGGTGAGGAGCTCCAGAGGACACCTGACAGTAACCCACCCTATTACCCACAGTAAGGGAGGTACCTCTAAATTCAATGAAACGTCATAAACAATTTCCACATAAGAATTTCAACTAAGTGCAAGATATTTCCTACTTAAAAAAAATTTCTGGGGCTGGAAAGTTAGCTCATTTGGTTGGAGCACGGTGTTATAAAACCAAGGTCAAGGGTTCAGATGCCCTTACAAGCTAGCCGGAAAAAAAAAAAAAAAAATCCAAACATAAGACCAAGGCTTAGGTGATTTGTTTTCAAGGCTAAGGTGAGAGGCGCTCATCTCCTAGACAAAATACCAGTTAGCATAATCCCTTTCTACTTCTAGGAAGTCAGTCTAAAATAGCACCAAAACCTAAACAAAAACCACTTGAAGGGGTTCTTTACAGTCCTAATTACTGTAGTAAAAAACTTAGAAAAAAGGTCCAACAATTGAGAACAGTTGGGTAAATTAGGCTATCGCTCAATTGCACAGCCATTTAAAAATATTTATGAAGAGTTTCTAATAGTGAGAAAAGGCTTAATTATGTCAAATGGATATACCACTAAGTTAGATGCACACACTCAAAATTCTACAGTCCTAGAAACCAGGACTCCATAGCAAAGAGTTCTTCATGCTGGTGTTTTCCAATTCTGCCTAAATTTCAATATTAAACTGACACACACCTACCTGATTTATAGAACTGGAAGGACGCGTGCCCTGCATCAATAGCTACAGAGATGGGCCCCACAGTTGCCACAGCTTTCATAAGGTCCTTCTCCCGCTTAGGGATGTCCACGAAGCCAGTGTCATTAGCAACAGAATATTCAGGCCTGTATTTACAGGTTCCATCCTTTTAAAGTTAGAGCGGAAGAGACTGATGACTACCATTCACCTCCTAGGGAACATGAGTTCTAGAACTAAAACACTCAGCAGTTTACAGCTTAGGATTTCCAAGTCCACACTGTTCTAAATCATCCCAGGAAGAGAAATGCTGTTAGTTGATTTGAGACTCAGAGTTAGCTCATGTCTCTTCAATGAGACCCCCTATGTGTATAGAAATTTTTCACAATGGAAAAATGTATATTATGTAGACTAGTCTGTGTATTCTCCATTCTCACCTGGAAGCAAGAACAGCTATATGTTAATCATCTAATCAGAGAACTGTGAAAAGCTTAATAATTTATAATGACAGTACTGAGAGTTTGCAGATACATAGTCTACCACCTAAAATGTGAATTCTGAAGAAGGTGTCTGTTATGTCTGAGTGTTCAACTTTCCAAAAGTACAGCTGGAATGATAAGGAGATCCATTTACCTTTCCTTCGTATGGATAGGATTCCTCTGAGTCCAGGCCTCCGTTGTCCTTAATATACTGGAAGGCATTATCCATCAGGCCACCATTGCAGCCATTATTGCCCTGAGGTCGAGAACAGTCCACCAGGTTCTGCTCACTCAGTGAGGCAAGTTTGCCAGTTTTTTGGAAGATCTGCCCTTCTAGGGAACCAGTCGCACTAAAAGCCCAACAAGAACCACACTGACCCTGAAAAGGTAGCAAAAAAGCTGTCAGTTTTTAAGACAAATACAAAGACTGACAACAGACCATAAAGACTGACAATTGACTAAATACTCTCAACCCCTCTACAAACTGCAGGTCGCTCTTTAGGCCACCAAGGCAACAAGGCCAATTCCTCCCTGGCTTTCCTGTGGGAGATGGAAGGTCTGAATCTGACGCCGTCATACCTGGTTCTTCACGGGAGTCACATAGCCTTTCTCTCTCCAATCCACAGATTTGGGGACCTCAACAAACAGAGGTTCACGGAACACTTTCCCCTTCTTATGTTTCTTGTTTTGAAAGCCATTCATCACCTGCCTGAATTCTTCATTGGTCTTCCAGGAAAAGTAAAGAAAATGTTAAGAAAAAAAAGCAAGAGATGACGTTGGTAAAGAACTGAGGAGAGGACGCACGGGGTACGCAGTCCACGTGCACTCACCATGTCACCAAAGGCGTTCATGGCCATTGTGAAGCCATATTTCCCTTGGCTGTATTCCCCGTTGTGCAGTTCAATCGTTCTCATGTTCTTCTCCCACACTGCTCTCCGCCAGCCTTCTTCATTCTAGAGGCAGACACATATCTCATGGTCTTTATTTCTACTTAAAACCCAACCCAGGCTCACAAAGTGGATCTGCAGACAGAGATGGGAGGGAAACCATGGCCAGGGATGGCTTTATACTTGTGGGAGCTGCTCTCCAAGCTCTGACATGATGGGGGTATAAGCCCATATTGTACCCATAATGGGCGCCGTTAGGTTACTGCCTTGGTACGAGCTGGCCCCTAGAAGCTACTCTCTGGCTGTAAACTCCCAACAGCAAGGACCTTTCTCTCTTGGGCCCCTGTGGACAGTTTTGGATGTTACCAACCATGCCATATAGTCTTCTGTGTGTTGCT